TTTCAGTCCCACATTGGGACAAAACATTTAAAGTTGAGTAGCTGAATGCTAATTATCTACATAGCCTCAAATAAACTTGAGCCTTCTACAGTTTATGTTGACAAAATATTATGAGAAAAGATAGAAAATAGTTGAAGCAAATTAAACTTATTCTTTGGGATGCTTTTTTTAAAAAAAATAAAATAATGAAGCTTAAAATCCATGAAATACTACAACAAATATTGTCATCAAGTTTGTCAATACACAGTTAAGCTATGAAAAGAGTTTTGTTTTTTCAGATAATCACTAGAGTTTGTGCTAAGAATACTGAGTTCTCCCTCCCCTCTTTTAATAGCTATAATTTCTAATCCAGTTTATAGAACTGGGTCCCATTTTAAAAAATAAACTCTCAGAGTGAATTCTGTTTTTTTTTTGTTGTTTTTTTTTTTTTTTTTTTTTTTTTTGTAGAGACTTTGTGTTATGAACAAGCTGCTAAGGTTTCCTATTAATAGATTACCTGTCTATCCATTCAGGAGATGCTGAGATATGGTTCTGTCCAGAAGAGAAATCAAATACACTAACTTTCTTCCTATGCAGTCTCAATTTCCCCCAAAGAAAAATAGATTTTTCGGAATGCCTTGAGCTGAAGGAAATGGTAGTAAATTAGAAATGCTTTCATAGTTTTTTTTAAATTTTATATTTCTGGAAGGAAGGAGAAAATACCTGTAAAAAAAGCACTTTGGAGATGACTAAGTAAAAATGATAAGGATATAGATCAAAGTAACTGTTCTGAATTCATTGGGTTTGGTTTGTCTGAAAACTCATACAGCAGATTCATTCTTATTCTGGTGAGAGCTGAACACCAAGGGAGACAATTTCGAATCGTTGGAAAATAATTACCTATTCATCAAGGGTCGGTACAACCTTATACTATTTTTATAGTCATTTCTAGAAGTACACATATCATTTATTTGAGATTTATAATCAATATCTTAGCACATATGAACATGGCCACAGCTATAGAAATCAGGTTTCTGTAATAATGCAAAGACATTTATCTTAACAAATCTGTTTGTAATGTCTGTCATTATGGGTGAGTGTTCCCAAATAAGCAAAACTAAAAGGATGTGGAAAATTTCATGACATATTTTATATGCTAGTTATTTATTTGTTGTATATTCATGGGGTTACTAATTACAGCTGGTAAAAGTTGATTTTCTCCTCTTCAGTTTATTGTGAGATGGGGCGTTCATTTCATGAGATACATAGTTATTCAGTGTCTACATTTCAGAAACTGAATTGCTGGATACAGTCAAAATGAGCTTTGGCAATTCCATGTGTGAGTGTACAACTATAATTTTGCTGCACATTAATAACAATCTTGCAAAGAAGCCCAGAATCAAATGCCTTGCTCTCAGCTGGGGGCAGAAAGCTAAAGTGGTATATCTTGGCTGGTGACCTATAATGTTGGAAAAGCAGGCTCTACATTCACTCAGAAGGGGTAGGTGGCGTTCTGGAAATTTATTCCCTCTTCTTCACTGAGCCTTTTCCTTTTTTTTTTTTTTTTTTTTTTTCTCTCCTTGTAGTGTGTTAGTGAGTGCTCAGAGACAATGAAAAAAAAAAAAACAACTGAATCACAGATAATAAAAATAGTGCCTCTCTAGAACAAGCGGTAAAATCAAGGATTTTATTTCTTCAGGTGTCAACTCTGTTCCTTCCCCAAGTCCTGCCCTGCCCAGGCTTCTGCGGCACCTCAGTGATTCCAACTCAGCGATCAGGTGGGCAGAGGTCTGGGCAGTCACCCACAGGGAGGACACTTGCTGCTGCCCGCTCGGACTTGCGGTCTTGGTCAAAGCAGAGAATCTCCAAGAGGTCCCAGGCTACGGATGCATTCGGGTGGGGCGAGGTGTTATTATTGCTGGATTGTCTCTGCAGAGTTTGCCTGGAGAGTGAGCGCTGGAGGGAGTGGAGCAAGTGTCCCCAGGAGTCCAGGGGCGCCTCCCCCCCCCCCCCAAGACGGGTACGCTGGAGGGCTCGGGCACGGGGGACGAGAGAGAATTCCTGCCTTCTGGCTGGGAGCAGGGAGGCGGTGTGGCGGGGCAGGGGGCAACGTGCCAGTTTTCTCTCTGATTAATGATGCTCACGCTGCTGCGCGTGGCTCATGCGCTTTGTCTCCAGCCTTAGGGCTGGCGGAGAACAGCCCAGGGAACGAGTGGTACCGCGGGCGCCCAGCGCACCCAGCAGGTGCCATCCCTCTGGATGGGCCAGTTCTGGATGCTCCCCAAGGGACAGAGGCCGCGACGCCGCCAGGCGCCCGGCTTCGGCCACCTCCCGGGTGTGGCGGGTCTGTGGCCCGGGGTCTCCGGCCAGAGCAGCCGCGGAGCCACGTGCAACACGCGCGTTGCCCTCAGCCCGGGCGGGGACCGGACGCATCCGGGGCTGCGGGGAGGAGCCGGGCGCCGCCCCCGGCGGCAGTGCCAGTCGCGTGGGAGGGCACGGACCGGCGGAGGGGCAGACGACGGAGGCGGCCAAACAGGAGGAGCGGGACCGAGGGATCGGCCGAGGCTGGCTGGCTAGGGGTGGGACTGGCAGCGCCACGGACAGGTGGGAGCAGCCAGACAGCCCGAGAGAGGGAGCCCAGAACGCGGCGAGAGCGAGAGCGTGAAGTAGGCAGGGAGAGGCGCCCGGAGAGAGAGACAGCCGCGCGCGCGCGCCTCCTCCCTCCACGCGCCCTCCTCGCACCGCGCGCAGCGGCCAGGAGCGCAGAGTGGGAGAGGACCGTGGGCACAGGAGGCCGGAAGAGGGACGCTGCGTGGCTGGCGGGACGGAGGGATTCGGACGGACGGACGGACCAGCGCGCAGACTGGCAGCCTGCGAGAGGGGCGGCTTCGAGAGCAGAGCGCAGGCTAGCGGGAATCCCGCGCGGAGCGGCTGGGCGGACCGACAGACGGTCGGACTGACAGACGCGCAGACGGACAGAAGGGCAGACGGGAGGCGGGGGCGCGTCCACTCCTCGCGGCCGGCCGGGCGGAGCAGGCGGCGGTGGCACCTTCTGAGCGCGCCCGGAGCGGAGACCGGCGGCAGCAGGTGCAGCGGAGACGCCCGCCGCGACCGAGCCGCCGCCGCCGCAGCCCTGGCTGCCACAGCTGTGCGGAACTCCAGCCGACGCTGCAAAAAGCTCCGTTTACTAGCAGTTAAATAAATCAACCAAAAACCAAACAAACAAACCAACCCAACAACAACAACAACAAAGCCAAGCCAAAAGCCAAAACTAACAAATCCAGCCAAATCAATCACTAAGAAACAATACTATTAATAAAATCCAAAACTAAATCAAACCCATCAAGGCACCAAGACGCAGGGGGGATATCCACTGTTCGATCAAGGTAATAATCGAGGTCTTCCGACGTGAACATTGCACGCCTTTTGTGGCTTTTTAAGAATTCCTTCTTTCTTTCTGCCATATATCTGTGTGTCTCTTTTGAATTATTTCTTGTCTGTATTTCTCGTGTTTGTAGAAAGCTGATGTTGTTATACATGTATTGTGTTTTGTGTGTTTCGTCAAGGAGGGATGGACGCTCCTTCCCCCAAAAAAGACAGAAGTGGAAAGCTGGAACTAAATTGAAAAGGGCAATGTTTTTCATCGGAGAAGTCTACGGTGATTTCTATAGGCGTTATGGTACAAAGTTTGCAATGCTCTTTTTGGAAGAGACCTATTGAAGAGGTAGAAACTTATACTCTGTTTGTTGTCCTGGCAGGATTGGGGTCCTAGGTCCCAAGGGGTTTAGGGGGAAGAAAAGAAAAGATGTTCAGTTTTATTTTTATATGCATGAAACCAGTGTTTCATCGCAATCACCAGTTTACTTTCTGTCTCAGGTTGTAGATATGGTGGTAGAATTGAGTTGAATTAGACAGGTGTTTCGAAAGTTTCTTAGGAAGAGAATTAACTCCCTCAATGTTTATGCATAGAAATATAGCTGAGGTGGATGTGGCTGCTGTCAGCTATTCAGATTTGCTACCTGATCACCTTCTGAAGATGTAGGATAAGGACAGAATCCAAGCCTAAAAGACAAAAAAAAAAAAAAAAAAAAAAAAAAAAAGAGAGAGAGAGAAAAAGAGAGAGAGAGAGAGAGAGAGAATTGCAAGTTATAGGGGTGGGCAGCTAAGAAATATAAAAGGCTGGTAGAAATCATTTTCATTAGAATGTGGTTAGAGTACAGATATTCATTTTGATTTATGATTTCTTTCAGTTTTTTGATTTTTGATTTTCTACCAGTGTGACCCTCAAGCTCTCAAAACAAGAAGGATATTCCTCAAAGTTGAAATGAATCTATGTAAGATTTTGTTCAAATGAAGAATCAATTTTAATGATTCCTAACCCCTCCTCATCTACTTTGGAGATAAAGACTGCTATGATTGTTTTGGGTAAACAGACAAGTGGAAATGACAGGAAATCATTTTTTATTTGTTAAAAATCAGAAAACCTTTGACACACACTTTAAAATAAATACACCTACTCCTTTGATCTTCTATGTATGTATTACCACAGGGCTTAAATATCTTAATAGGATTTTAGTTAATGTCATTTTCATGAAAGACAGTCATTCAGAAACCAAGAGCTCTATGTTTTGTCCAAATAGCCGAGTAATCTCCTATCTTGGCAGTAATTGCTTTTGCTGCATTTCTAATGTGTATTGCATGAAGAGGTTATGCATACACTCAAGTGTGTGTGTGGGTTTTCAAGGTATGTATTTGTGTTTCCTTTGTTATAACATTCTCCTACTTTTCATCACTTTGACTAATAGAATATTTGTAAATTTTCTGGAGAGTGAGTTTGGGCATATGCTTTGAGGGATATGCTTCTGCATCACAAAAGATATGGAAACATAATTGATTACTTGCTTATCAATAATATTTTGATTTTGTTTAAATGAAATTTTTAAGACATTCGGATTGCTATGCATTCATGTTTTAAATTTACCCTCTCTGGGCATGTTTTATGTCATTTGATAAATAAAATAACTAAGTTACTTCAGAAAAATACCTATTAAGCAGAGTACTTTGTTTAGAGAAGGTATATTTAAAGAAACTTATACAGCTAAAGAAATTGACTTTCATCTTCTCAGTGACTTAATTTCACTACCTGCTGATTTGTCCTTTGCAGTATTTAGTTCAGACCAAGACAGAATTGTGTGTGCTGTTAGATTTGCAAATTGCTGATCTCCCAGTGACTTTCCCTCTTAGATCCCAGTTGAGTATGGTTACCTTGAGAACTGTGGTATTAGCCGTGTTAGAGCATGCTCCACTGGGGAGTTCTGTGCAGTCTATTTTTAATGCTATTTAATGAAGGAGCGAGCGCCTCACTCAGCAATAAAAGAAGCATGAGGGAAGACAGAGCAGTGCATGGTTATGGATACTGGACAAGGATATTTGGAAAGGTGAAGACTGACCACTGAATATGGTAATTTTAATTAAGTCCTAATATATTGTATGAATGGAAATATTGATTTTTGTTAGAGAATTATACATGAATAGTTCAATGGATGTTTTCGTATACCTCTTCACTAGTTCTTAGAAAGAAGACTCAATAATATGAGTTTTTAAAACTTGAGGGAGATACTAACTGGGAAATTCCTGCATGCATACTATTTTTAATACAAGCTGTCATATTCTTGGGTGGTGAGAAGTGCAGAAATAATTTCAAATTCCTAAAATATTGTTCTGGTGAAAGGTTTGGAGCTCGTATAACATTCTGCGAATAAAATAACTAATGTGATTCTAAGATACTACAATAACCTGAAGCTCTGCCTTGTGAATTGCTTCATTTTTTTTTTTTTTTTTTTTTTTTTTATGAACTTGGAGTCTAGGTCCAGAATTGTAACAACTTAAGGAAGCAGGAAGTTTTGATTGAACTTGATAAGAATATTTGGGTTGTTTTCTCTCCTTTGCATTAAGATAAGCACCGCAGATTATCTTACTGAAGGTTAAATATTTTAAAAATATATATATATATATAGCAGAGGCAACACTGATAACTTTCGGCAAGTTGTAATGAGGGACAAAATATCTTAGCATTATAGTGTGTACAATGCAAGAAGCCATCTGCCTGCAGCATTTGCATATATACAGAACACCTGTCTTGAGGTAGAAAGTGAGAATGTTCAATCAGAAAGGTCTTGTGTTGATTTTCATATTAACAACTTACTATAATCAGGGTTTTTTGTTGTTGTTGTTCAGAGTAAAACTAATTAGACAAAATGCTTAAGTAGTTTCAAAGTTAATAAACATAAGAGAAAGTAAGCAGTTTCTATTAGTTGGGGAAGTTAGTCATAGAATTTTTAAATAAAGCTGTTAGAACAATGTGCAAAGTTGATCTGGATTTTTGCCAATTCTTATGAAAAATGATCCCCAAAAATAAACTATTAAGGAAAATACATCACAAGGAGTTACTGTGATTTTTGTTTGTCTTTTTGACTTAGCTCTAGAGGAGGAAAACAACTCACACAGGCTAAAATATTTCCCTTAGTGGTCATGTATTTTGAACCACAATGCTGATACCTTTCTCAAGCTTCTCAAATCAGTAGGCATTCTCATCTGAATTCAATGTCTATTTTGTCTGTGGACAAGATAATGATAAGCTACATGAGTAGAGTGTAGGATGAGTCAGCCACTGAAGATACAATATGCAAGGTAGCCAGAGTGAATATGATTGAGAATTCTCATTAGTATGAGAAGACAGTTTGACGTCCATAAGGTTGGAAATTACAAAATAATCATTTGTATATAAGTCAGTTTAATTCAGATCTGCTTTGTGACAAGGTTAGGAAAGAATGTGGGGCTTAAAGGTGATGTCGACAATGAAAGCCATTTCTTCAGATGGTAAGTACTGGCATCATTCTAACTGGTATCACATGGTAGTAGCCTATTTAGAAATTTGTGAATCTTTAATCACAAAAAGAATTGAGTTCCTTAAAAATGTATTATGTCACCTGGAACGTTCTTAATATATTTTAAGTCAGAGATGATGCATTTGTAAAATATATACTTCCTCTCTTTAGACAAAGGATCTTTTTGATTCCAGAAGCTCTACATTTCTGTGGACTTTGCCTTCTTTTATTTTTTATTCTAGCATTTAATGTTAAATATGATAAATGAATTTCAAGCAGCAATGAAAGCAAATGCTGAAGGACTGTTGAAGGAAAAAAAGAATATTAACAACATGTATTTGTAACTAGATTTGTTTTTCTTAGAGTGTCTTTGCTTCTGAGTGTTGGTTTCCTTTAGGTGGCTTTATGCCAAGTTTTAATAAATTGATTATTTGTAGTGTCTTAGTGTTATAATTTAATTAATTTTGCTCATCTTGAATTAATTTTGGCCCTAGATATTGAAGTATGTACTACTTGTATTTCTACATCATAGCCAGTGGTCTATAGGATTAGATATGAGCTGAGCTATAAAGTATTTAAATTATATACATAATGTTTCATAAAGAATAAAGTGCATGAGAAAGAATATCAGATTTATTCAGCAGTTTTTAAATGTCTGGTAACGTTGTTATTTGTAGTCTCAAAATCTTCTGTGGTCTGATGATATTTTCTTTCGGCATGAAATGTTCATATAACGTTTTGAATGCACCTTTCTCTAAACTTACTGGGACATATCTGTGCTTTCAGAAATCGCTATGCAGGCAAACCAAAAAAGTGAATTGAAATAATTACATCAAGACAATGAAGGGGATGTTGAAAAACAAAGGGGTTTGCTTGAGTGCATCAAATTGCTGTCTACTTTCAGATGGAATCCTTAGCATCATATTATGCTTCTTCTTCTTTTTTTTTTTTTTTTTTTTTTTTTTGTCATCATTATAGATCCTGGAATTGCCAGGTGGAGAGAATGTTAATCACTGTCCATTGTCACAGTAGATCAATATTTTTAGATTTCTTTACACACTTTGCCCAAAGAAATGTCTTTCGGCAGTTGTATAAGCCCTGTTTAATATACCTTTCAATGGGACAGGTTTAGTAGATTTTTGTGTACGTTTTGTAATAAAGTGATGTGTATTAGGATACAGCTGTAATTGCGACATTAAAATGTTGAAGCATTAGTCCAAAATTGTCTCATTCAAGGAATCTATTCATAATTATTTCTCAGTCATAAATTCATACGTTTTAAAAGTAATATACATTGCAATTGTTCCTGTTACCTAGCAAAAGAAAATCACCTCATTTTATCCAGGTAAAGAGGGCAAGTGTCCACTAATAATTATCCCTTTTAAAAACAGGCCTTTTACTACATTCTCACATTTCACACTACTTCAAGAAGATACAAGTCTTAAATTAGAAATCCGTTATGAATAACACGCAAAATATTAAGATTTTATTAACAAAATCCTTCCTGTAAACAATAACATTGGTTTTAAAATAATTGCAAATAAATTTGATTGTAGTTTTAGGGGAGGATTCAAAATTTTTAACAGAAAAACAATTACGTCACTTTTTATTTCAAATATTTCAGCAAATTTTGTGGAGCGTTTTGGCATATTGTGGGCAATGTTTCTTTGCAGAATTGCAAAGTGCAATATACCATCGTTTTTTCTGCAGCTATTTCACTGGAACAAATTCACAAAGCATATCTAGCTAGATAAGCCCAGTCATCTCTCACTGATACTCACACAAATTAGGAAATAATTCCTTGTGATAGAGACATCCAAAAAAACTCAGTGGTTCCATGGCCAAATTTAGTGCTGGAACTCTTAATAATGGACAAGCATTCTTTTTCATTTGTATTATCTTTGCTTGCTTCTTTATTATACACTAAATACTTGAGATAAGAACAAGAACTCTCTCTAGGGAAACAGAAACCAGAGAAATGGTTTTCATATACTTAGCAGATTTCCCTTTAATTGCTAAGATACAATACTCATTCAGAACATTCTAGTCCATTGGATCATACCCTAAAAAAAGATAGTTTATGCATGTTGATATATTTTTGGTCTAGTTGAAATTGAGAAACAAGCAGTGAAGTAAAATATTTCCACATCTTTAGAAAACAAAATTGAACAACAACTTCTGAAAGTTTTATGGTCCTATGAGTTGTGATAAAATATCTTTTATCCTTTGACACATAAACCAGAAGGCCCAGCTATCATCTAATTGCTCAGTGATTCAAGTTGCTTTCAGATTATCTCACCACTGTTACATAGACCTAGAAAAATCAAGCTACTGGTCAATAGAGGGTGAAGGAAGGGCATGTCAACTCACTGAAATTCAGTGACTCCTCATAATTGCTTAAATTTTATTTGCCCATAAATTCAATGGAAAAAAATTGGAAAGCTAACAAATTTATTTTTCAGATTTTTGCATGTTTCTAAAACCGCAAGCTAAAGTCCTCACAAAAAGTTCTAACATAGAAAAATAAAAACATATCTGTACTCTGGATTTGCTTGTTTTCCTTAGCATTTTACTTGTTAATATGTATGTAACTTTGTTGGAAATCCCAGTGTTGCTGGCATCTGATTTGATTTAATCATCAAAGAGCTTTTGGACAGAAAACAAGTAGATTCGATGTGAGTATATGACAGAATCAAGATTTCTGCAGCATTTGCAAGCTTTAACTACTCAATGCTTCTTTAAAACAATTTTTAAATGGGTGTAAAGAGGCTTTTGGTTAAAAACTATGGTACTTTATTCTCTTTGTTTAGAGAAAGAAGATTAAGGTTTTTAGTCAAATCATGATTCTTTAAGCCAATGCAGCATATAGCTCTATTAAAATTACTATGGAATTCTACGAAATTAATTAATTGTTAGAATTCTGCAGTCATACTTATGATCTTACTTCTTTCGTATCTGGCCTATAGGAATGATCAAAGCTAACACTCTTAGATGGCTTTGTTTATATTTTTTTTTATTTTAAATTTATTTAGATATGCTGATGTTGTAAGAATTTTGGGAAATTGTCAAACAACCGGCATTGCACTAAATTCAAAAATTTTACATCAAAGAACTAGCTGGTATAAATGATTCTTCATTTTTTTTCACTCCCGTGTCATTTGACTTTGGTCACAACAATTTTTTTGTATGTGAAGACTCAAATTTTTCTCATAATCACAAATTTTCACATAATCACTAATAGCGCTCTGGAATAAGATAATCTAGCATATAATCATGTTGCATACACATGCTGCAGCTATCTGCTTACCCTTAACATTGTTAAGCACTCTAACAACTGAATGCCTTAATCTTTAATTATCATTATAATTACTGTCTTCAGTCAGAACTTCGTATGACTTGGTGTTTAGTGTTTCTTCAGCGTCAAGAGGTAGGAGAGTATACATAGCGAATGTGATAGAATTTATATATTGCAACAAATTTATACATCTTCCAGGATAAGTATGCAAATATCTCTCCAGCAGGGAAATTATTGTATTCCAAAAATAATTGTAATGTCTGTGTTAATTGTCTGATA